AGGTCCTTGCTAAGTAGCTGAGGACTATCTTTGAACTCAAGATCTTCCTGCCTCAGCTTCCTGAGTCTTTGGGTTTACAGGTGTTTGCCTGTAAATAAAGTTGTAATAAAGCTGTGGACTTCATTATGAAGCAAGTAGATTTCTTCTAGTCCTAGTTTTTGAGTGATTTTATTGACAGTTTTTTAAAAGGTGAAAAATTGCATAGCGGTATAGTATGATCACCTTCTGGTAAAATAAAATAAAATAAAAGATATGCACATTTCTACATACAGGGAAAATTGAATGAAAGAAACAATAACCTGGTAATATTGGTGTCCCCTTTCTTTATCTCAGTGGGGAGGAAGAGATAGGAAAGTCAAAGTAAGGACAGGTATATTTAGAAGGTTCTCTCCATATTTCTACATTTGAATATCTTAACGGCATAGTTTTATAATAAAAACATGATTCCTTAATTTAAAAATTCTAGGTTGTTATGTCTTTTAATGCAGTCTTTCTCAAAAATTGTTTTAGGTTCTACTGAGTGCAAAATGACGAAATCTAGTCCTTTGAAAATAACATTGTTTTTAGAAGAGGAAAAGTCCTTAAAAGTAACAACATCAAACCCAAACGTTGAACAGCAGACTGGTTGGTTTTTATTCTTCATTTCTTTTTTAATTTTCATTTTTTATTTGTTCTTTTTAGTTACACATGACAGTAGAGTGTATTTTGACATATCATACATACATGGAGTATAACTTCCCTTTCTTGTGGTTGTACATGTTGTAGAGTTACACTGATTGTATATTCTATATGAACTTAGGAAAACTATGTCTGATTCATTCTACTGTCTTTGCCATTCCCATCTCCCCTCCCTTTACCCTATTCCTCACTGTCCAATCTGGTAAACCTCTATCTCCCACCCCCTAGCCTATTGTGAGTCAGCATCTGCATGTCAGAGGGAACATTCGACCTTTGCCATAATTTCATTCTTATTTATAGCTGAATAATATTCCACTGTGTATATGTACCACTATTCTTTATTTCTTATAACTTTGGCCACATTATAAAAATTAATATATTAGAATTACATATTCAAATATACAGTGTCCTGTATTTTAAAAATGTGATTTTATAATATTCTTTTTTTTTTTTAAAACTAGGATATATCTAGCTTCCACAAAAATCTGTGGTATTATTAGTAGTAATTGTTAGGTAATTATTTCACCCCTGTGAAAATCTGTTTAGGACTGCCATTCACTTTCATAGGGAATGGGACTGCCATATTCTGCAGGTGCTGTTAGGGAGTTTAGTGGCCCCAAAGGCTTATTTTAGAACTGCCCTATGTGACATTAGTGTTTGCCTATTTTTGTCACCCAGGTGAAAAAGCAACCCGCACCAATATGAAAAAAGTCATTTGAAAGAACATGTTTTGAAAGTCTGAATCTTTTGTATATTATCCTATAATTTGAGTTCTTAAATTTAATATTCTCTACTAAATCCAAGGCATTGAATCAGCTTTTGATGGACTCAACCTTCATTTCTTAGAAAATGTTATTTGAACTTTGAAAAATTTGTTTCATTTGTTAGTAGTATTTTGTTGAAATGAGAAGTGTTTTTCCTCAACATTTTTTTGTCTTGTTTATTTAGTAAGTACATGAATGTTAGATCTTCTTTGCTTTCTCTTCTTAAAGCCTTAAATGGAATCCACTCATATTTTTCAGAAGTGGTACGTGAAATTGAGTTGAGTGTGGATGATGAGGATGATATCAACAGTTCAAAAGTAATTAATGATATCTTCAGTGATGTCCTTGAGGAAGGTGAGCTAGATATGGAAAAGAGTCAAGAGGAGATGGATCAAGCAGAAGCAGAAAGCAATGAAGAGCAGGAAGATGCATTGAATATCTCCTCAATGTCTTTACTTGCTCCGTTAGCACAGACAGTTGGTGTGGTAAGTCCAGAGGTAAGAAAAGACTAAATGTAAACAGGCCCATGACAAAAATAAATGAGTTAATATTAGAACCTCCCATCCTGCTTTATTGGGGATTTGGCACTTTGTAGTTAAGGAGATTTTGCAAAACTAATGAACATTCTCTGAAGAGATTAAAACTCTTCAGTATTTTGCTGTTTTCCTTAATCTCCAAATAGTAATGTGGCTTACAAGGGCAGACATTGGTTATAAATCTTGGCTCTGACATTTATTGTTATTTAACCTCTCTGTGAATAGTTCCCTCATTCATTAAATGAGGTTTACAATAGTACTTATATCAGAGGGTTGATGTGAATATTAAATTATGTTAATATATTAGTGTTTAGCACCAGACATAACTAACATTCATTGAGAGCTAATTACTATCATTAGCTGTCACCCTAAATTGGATAACTGCAGCTCTGGACATTGATTGACATATTTTTTTAACTTTGAACCATTATTCATTTTCTTTTTAGGAATTTATTTTTAAAGTCCTTTGGTTTTACAGTGAGTCAGTTGACTTGTTGAATATTTATTTCCTAATCATGAAGAATTCATTCTTTTTAGAATTAAATGAATTATCATTTAGAATCAATGTTAATCATCCATAAAATCTACCCATATCTGATGTGCTTTCCTGCAGAATTTAGTTTCCTCACCTAAATTGGAATTGAGAGATACTCATGCAAGCGATGAGAGTCCAAAACCAGGAAAGTTCCAGAGAACCCGTGTTCCTCGAGCTGAATCTGGTGATAGCATTGGTTCTGAAGATCGAGATCTTCTTTATAGGTAAGGTGATTTGGGGAAGGTATTGGTTCACTCAGGTTCACGGTTTAGATTGACATAAGTTGTATTACCATTTATATTTATAATGTTATTAATAACTTACCTGTATAAAAATTTGGAATAACTTTTCAGTCTCATTCACCAAATGGCATTTCCATGGTGGTGAAATGTTCTGCTGATATGTTTAATTTTATCAAATTCTGTTGACATGTTCAATAATGGATAAAGCTCAGTATGTTGCTGGATTTCTAACAGAGTCTAACTTTTCCTGAAGCATTGATGCATATAGGTCTCAAAGATTCAAAGAAACAGACCGTCCTTCCATAAAGCAAGTGATTGTTCGGAAAGAAGATGTTACTTCAAAATTAGATGAAAAAAAGAATGCCTTTTCAGGTCAAGTTAATATCAAACAGAAAATGCAGGTATGCACTTCAGTAGAAAGGGGATTTAGGATGTTTCTTGCACTAGATTGTGAATTCTTTGAGGACAATGGCCCAGTTTTCTTCCTTTCTATACCTTAAGTGACTAGAAGGGTATCTGACACAGGAGCTAAGTAAATCTCTCTTGAATTTGGTTTAATTTTCCAAAGATACTATTTTTGGAAAAGTCAGAAACTTGTTTCATATTGCTGAAATATTTATTAATTTTTATTTTTTGCAGTTCTAGGGATTAAACCCAAGGCTGCATGAATAGAGGAAGTATTCTCCCACTGTGCTACATTCCAACTCTGAAATTTTCTTTTAAAACATGTTGGTTACAAATATCTTTAAATTATAGCTATTAATTGGATGATGGTAAARTTTGAAATTTATTTGGTGCCTCAAGTATTCTTTTTATGTTAAGAAAATATTTTCTTCATTTCTACCTTGTTGGATAGAGTCTTTTACTGGAAAAAGTGTTTGTAGTTTAATTTATTTATTAAATGGTTTTGGTACATAGTCTAGAAACCTGAGCAGTGAAACTAACCTTTTGATTTTTACTCTTTGAAAAATTTGGAAACTACCCAATTACATTAGTTAGAATTCAAGCTTAAATAAACTGAAAATGATGATTAAAACGTGTACTTTTCCCTCCTCTCATTTATGTTTCTCTAGGAACTCAATAATGAAATAAATTTGCAGCAGACAGTGATCTATCAAGCTAGCCAGGCTCTTAACTGTTGTGTTGATGAAGAGCATGGGAAAGGGTCCCTAGAAGAAGCTGAAGCAGAAAGACTTCTTTTAATTGCAAGTATGTGTGATATACCTGAAAAATTAAAAAAATGTCACTAATCAGGGAAAACTTATTTCCTCTGGTATATTCAGAAATCTCTAATTTTTCCCCATTTTTTTAATTGGTACATTATAGTTGTACATATTGATGGAATTTGTTTTTACATATTCATACAATACACAATTTAACAATATAATTTGGCTACTATCACTTCACAGTACTTAGCCCCTTTGTCCCCTCCTTCTACCCCTTGGTCCCTTTTCTCTACTATGCTCCCTTTCATTTTCATGGGGTCTTCCCCATCTTCATTTCCTTTTTTCCTTATAGGCTTCTTMGTATGAGAGAAAACACAGTACCCTTAACTTTCTGAGTTTGACTTAAGAAATCTTAAGAAATCTCTAATTTTAAAGAAAAGACTTTCTTTTCTCTTTTTTGTTGGTATTGGAGATTGAACCCAGAGGCACTTTGTCACTGAGCTATATCCCYAGCCTTTTATATTTTTATTTTGAGACAGAGTCTCACTAAGTTGCTTATTAGGGTCTTGCTAAATTGCTGAGGCTGGCCTCAAATTTGTGATCCTCCTGCCTTAACCTCTCAAGTTGTTGGAATTACAGTCATATACCACTACACCCAGCTGTTTMATTTGATCTGTTATTTGTTTTTTATAAAGTTTTATTTTCCATATAAAATAAAATGGAATTTGCATAAAAGATAAAGGTAACTGGAATTAGAATATCCTAAATGTGTGTGTGTGGGGGGGGTATGGGTGTGTGTGTTTGTGTGTGTGTGTGTGTGTGGTATATATACACATATTATGTCTCCATCTCTCTGTGTGTATGTTTGTGATAATGACAAAGTTTGTTCATTGGAAAGATGATACCACACCAGAAAGATGGTCAAAAGTTGAAGAATTAAATTAAGACTTGGTAAAATAGATGAACAATTGAGATTTTACCAAACATTTATCACAAAAGAGTTATTGATTTTATCGCTGGTCTTATGTACAATTGCCACATCAGTGTGTTTTCTTGAATTGGGATATTTACTCACTATTTTTACTTAGCTGAGAAGAGAACGCTTTTGATTGATCAGCTGAATAAACTGAAGAATGAAGGGCCTCAGAGGAAGAATAAGGCTGATTCCATATTCCAGAGTGAATTTGTCCCATCCAAAGGATCAGTTACTTTGTCAGAGATCCGCTTGCCTCTAAAAGCAGATTTTGTGTGCAGTACAGCTCAGAAGCCAGGTATTGTGATTTTTTTTTTCCATTAACAACAGCATGTTAAATTATGAACTTCACTTAGATTGAATTTGTATAAGAAAGGTACAAGTAGCACATGTATAAAGAAGCAAAGCTTGTTTTTTGAGCCTCAAAGTTTCTTTTATCAACATATATGTATAAGAATGAATTGAACGTAACTTTCCTATGTTCATGTATGAATATACAACCAGTGAAACTCCACATATGTTCAACCACAAGAATGGATCCTAATTAGAATATGTCAAAATACACTCTACTGTTTTGTGTATCTAACAAGAACAAAGAGATTAAATGATTATCATATGCCTTCAAAATTTATTTTTAGAAAATTATGTGTTGTGAATTAAACACTAAAATTGACAAGATTCTGGAAAGTTTTTTTAAAAAGATTATGTGTATAAAAAAATAAGGGAATATTTGATAACTGAGGTTGCCAGTCTGTACAATAATGGATATAGGCCTACCTATAAGTAAGGCTAAATGTAAATTTAGACGTAAAATATTTTCTGAAGATGACAGAGCAGACAATTTGACTTTTATTAATTAATTTTATTGTAGAAATGTACTGGAACATTTCAAAGAACTTATTTTGCTTACTGTATTCTATTTTAAATTCACTTCATTGTTTTATAAATTATGAATTACTATTGTGTGGGTCATGAGTGCCTCAGTGAAGATACTTCTATTGAAACATTTCCTTTGCCCTCTGGATTGAATAATCACTATAAACTTTAAAAAATATKTATTCTAGTAAAATGTATTTCTGAGCCAAGTGGATACCAGGGCAATATGACAGTAGAATCTGAAAAGAGAGATGTATAAGTATAGTAAGCTTAAAATTTTATTAAATGTTTGATAAACATCATTTTTAAGGTTCTTTTAAATTTCAATGTGTGTAGAACTTTTCTCTTTGAGGAAACAGAAGACTAGCCATAGGTGAGAAATGAATTTGAGGTATTTGGAGAGTAAAATAAAAGTGTGAGTGTTATTGTAGGAATGAGCTAATTTCAGTTCTAATTGTTGTAGTTTTCTGATTTTGATATATTGTGGTCAAAAAACTACTGATAATTTAGTATGGATCTTGACATATCTGATTATTTAATGATAAATAGTGTAATAATAGTTCAGGTTTTTATTAGAATTTGTCACAGTGTAACTTTCATATTATTTAAATTCCAGTTTTGAAATAATAAACCATAATTTATCCTTTGGAGGTGTATAGTATTAGCAAGAGAATTAGGGGTTATTAATTAAAAATCAGAGTAAGCAAAAATTGAGTAATGTGGAGTAAAGTTATTTCAACTTACATAATTGGAAGAGACCTGATGATATTTATTCCAAGGTTATAGCTGTCAGATTATATCTTACTTTTTGTTTCTGAAAATTAATTTTTATTGATTTTAAATGCAAACTTTATGTAAGCCATATGACTTTATTACTTTGGTCTTCCAGAATGCCAGTTAACTAAATCTGATATTACTTGTGCTTATTATGTAATGTGTTATTTCTTGCAGATGCAGCAAATTACTATTACTTAATTATGCTAAAAGCAGGAGCTGAAAATATGGTAGCCACACCATTAGCAAGTACTTCAAACTCTCTTAATGGCGATGCTCTGACATTCACTACTACTTTTACTTTGTAAGTAAATTAGTCTTTTTGTGGTTTAGACATATTTTCTTTTAATTAAATTAATGTAGTCTAAGCATGCAGGTGACATTTATAGTACCCTCCTCCCCACCCATGGCTTGTGCATGTATTCTACCACTGAGTTACTCATCAGCCCTTAATAATCTTTAAAATGTGGACAAATAACTCAGTTTTCCTTTTTTTTTTTTTTTTTTTTTGGTGGTGGTATTGGGGATTGAGCCAGGACCTTATACATTCTAGGCAAATGCTCTACTACTGAACTGTATATCCTGCCTCTTTTTGATTTAACTTTTTTACATGTTTCTCATGTTTCTAGTGAGTAGCACATTTATTCCATGTGACTATAGATATTTTATATTTTGAAGTGTTATGCACATTAAATCTGGACCACAATTTTTTATGTATGCTTTAAATCTAATAATGTACTTAATATTCAGTCTCAATTGAAAGATTTTAAATTTAGTGTCACAGATTTATTTTGAAAAGTACAGAGTCAAAATAATTTGAAAACAAATTTTGCTTTTATTATGTAAGATCTGGAGTTATAAAGTTCTGACTTGTATTAATGGGAAAAAAAAMCCCAGATTATTCTTGTCCATTTTTATTGTCTCTAGTTAAAAAACACAATGGATGCCTTTACTTTCAGAGTCTGGTAACAACACTATTTGTGACATTTGCAAAGGTATAATTTAGGTTTTTTTTTAAAAAAAAACCAAAACGTTTTATTTAATTATTTTTCAGGCAAGATGTGTCCAATGACTTTCAAATAAATATTGAAGTTTATAGCTTGGTAAGCCATTAAAACTTTCTAAACTAACCAATAGTATATTTTTCTTAATGACAGAAGATCAAGCTAATTGTATTTTGGGTTTGTGTATAGGTACAGAAGAAAGATTCCTCAGGTGCTGATAAGAAGAAAAAAACATCTAAGACCAAGGTGAGAATTATAGATACCTAGTAAAAATATTTTAAGCAGGAATAATTATTAATTTTAATTGATTTATAATTTTTGGTAAACTGAAAGTAAATTTATAGTGAGTAATCATGATTTTAAGTGTAAGCTCCTGATATACTCAGTCTAGATAAGTCTCCTTTGTCTGTGTGAACCTGACAGCTGACTTTTAAAACTACCTAGAACTTTTCCCCAGTGCTTTCCTCTGTACTCTTATCTCACTCATTACTCTAAACCAGTACTTAATGAATGATGTGGTTACTTGTGCAGAATAATAAGAAACAGAACCTCCACCTTGGTTTCTAACTTTCCAAGTGTATATTCTTGTTCTTTGCCTAAGTCATAATTTCTTAAAAATTTGTTTCTTCTGACTTTCAGTTGTAAAAATAAAATGAAGAAAAATGAAAATTATAGGCTTTGTTGTTTGTTTATTTAGCACTAATAAGAAAGGAATAGCAATAGGGAACAATCTTTAATGAAGGATGATATATTCATATTAAAGAATTAAAATTACTTTTCTGTGGAAACATCTCAAAGTTAGTTTTTATGTTTTTTGCGTATTTGAGGAAAAGTTTATTCTGGGCTCATGGTTTTTGAGACTCAGTTTGTGGTCCACTAACTCCAYTGCTCTTACTCTGAGATGAGCAAGACATCATGTTGGAAGGGGAAGAAACCTGATCATCACATGGAAGCCAGAAAGGAGAGAGACAGGGGCAGAGAGAATGTATACAACATTAAGTTGGTTTTAAACTCTGAATCACAAAATTGGAAATAAATGAAGATTTTTTTTCTTCTAGGCTATTACTCCAAAAAGACTCCTCACCTCCATAACCACAGTAAGTAAAATTTTAAGAAATTGGAATTTCTTGAAGAATTTCATCTTGCACTTATAATTATAAAGCCCTTAGTACTGTGAAAATATTTAAAATATACTAATGGGGGGAAAGCTCTCAATATTTATATAGGAAAAAATGTTTTTGGAAATGTAGTTTTTGTAGTGTTAAGGTTTTATACTTAATATTTAAATCTTCATATCAAATAAAGGAAATAAACTTATGTTTCTTCTTTATATATATATATATATATATATATATATGTTTGTTTGTTTATTTATTTATTTATTTATTTATTTATTTATTTATTTATTTTTTAGAAAAGCAACCTTCAATCTTCTGGTGAGTGGATCCTGGACTATTTGAAACTTTAGAAATGAGCATTTTTCTACATGTATAAATATATCCATTTATGGATGGGCTATCTTGATTTATAAGAGTTTATGTTGGTCTTCTTTGGGATAATGTTTTTGTGTATTTTTTAAAAGTAACATTTAAGGTTATTGGCTGGAATAACAGATAGTCTGGTTGTACATTTCTTAGTTACATAGGCTACCAATCTTTACATTATTTATGCTATGGTGTCAGTACACATATGATAGTCACCTGGCAATTCCAGCAGGTAGTATTACTCTTCACTCCTAATTCTCTTGTTGGATAAAATTTGTTGGGTGCTAGCCATGTAGTGGAGTTTACTTTTTTAAACTTTACTGATCATGACTGGTATTATGTCAGAAAAGCTTCATTCTAATTTACTGGRAACTGGGGCACCAATAAGCCAGGAGAGGCTTTATCTAGAATGGCTTTATATCTAAATTTTCCATAGGGGTTTAGAATGAAGTTGTTTTACTCACCTACTTTGGGTTATTAGTGTCTTCTTTATGGCATGGAAGTTACTAAGAAGTCCTATGCAGAGATAGCCTCTGCTTTTAATTATGTCACCCTGGATGATTAATAGCAATTGAAGTCTCTTCAATATTTCTTATGGGAAAATTGCTTTGTATGTATTCATTTTTAGGTCTGTGTCTTTAAAAAATAACCATTCAAAATGTAGGTATGTCTGTACCTCAAATTAAAAAGATAAAATTCTGAATAGTTTTCCTTCTTTATGTGTTGATATTTTATTCCCCCCACATTTAAAAATGGAGGAAAATGAGGCAGTTTTCTCTGTGGCAATCTAATTTTATTCTGTTAGGATGGGGTGAGGAATTTTTCTTTATATTTACAAAAGTCACTTTGGATTGTACTGTATTTCTTCTTTCTTTACAGTTATGGCCAGTCCAGGAGGTCTCAATGCTGTGCGTACCAGCAACTTTGCTCTTGTTGGATCTTACACACTGTCATTATCCTCAGTAGGAAACACTAAGTTTGCTTTGGAAAAGGTAATCCTAAGAAACTTCTTTCCTGTGCTTCCCAAATTAAAAGCTTCAAAGTTCAGATCTGCATTACATCACTATTGAGAATTTTTTTTTCACCATAATGTAATATGACTAAACTTTTGAATAGCTAATAAGACCATTTTAAGGAGTGAACAAACTAGAGGCACTTGGTTTGACTCCTGTTATGTAATATAGTATTTTTTACAAATATGTATTTTTAATTTTAATTCCTTAATTTTTTGATTAGCATGTGGTAATTGTACATATTTATGGGTTATAGTATGATTATTTTAATAGATATGTACAGTATATACTGATCAAATCAGGGTAATTAGCATTTCTGTTTTCTTATTTCTTTATGTTTGGAGCCTTTAAACTCTTGTCTTAGGGTTCTTCATAAAATATAGGTTATTATGAACTATGGTCACTCCACTGTGCTGTGGAGCACTAGAACATCTTCCTTCTAATTGTGCTTGAGTATACTCTACCCTCCCTATCCTCCCTCCCATTCTCAACTCTCACTGTTCTACATTCAGATTGACTTTTTAAAACTTACATATATGAGAATGTACATGCAATATTTGTCTTTGATATTTATATTACCATAAGAGATATCTGAAGTCATAATATAGAGGTGAAGAAGTAATGAAAAGTTAGAAGGCCTGATTTCTAGTATTTGCTCTGCTAGTAATTCACTCTAGTCCCAATGACTTGGGAGGCAGGAGGATTGCAGATTCCAGGCCAGCTTTAGAATCTTTTTTGTTGTGATTGTTTTTGGTCCTGGGTTTCTAACCCAGGAGCACTTAACTACAGAGCCACATCCCCAAAACTTTTTATATTTTATTAAAGACAGGGTCTCACTAAGTTGCTTTAGAGCCTCTCTTAAGTTGCTGAGACTGTCTTTGAACTTGCATCCTTCCCAGCTACTGGAATTACAGACGTACTAAGCACCCCCAGAATCTTAATGAGGCCCCAAGCAACTCAAGGAGATCCTGTCTCAAAATAAAAAATAAAAAGGGCTGGGAATGTAGCTCAGTGTAAAGTGCCTTTAATCTCCAGGATCAAGAAAAGAAGAAAACATTATGCAAAGTTACTTTATTTCTGAGAGGTCTTGGTATCCTAGTAGAATATTATGTTTGCAAAAAGAAGCTCAACTTTAAAATTCTATAAAAAAAAAATTCTTTTAGTTGGTGGACAAAAAGCAGACTATATTTGAAATTTTAACTACTGTTAATGAATAAATGTATTTTAACATGCTAATTTCTAAAAATTTATGTAACTTATTATATAGTATTTCAAGTAGTTGAACACATTGAGTGATCCTGGGTCTTTGTTTTTTTCTTTGTCTTTTTGTTGTTTGTTTTAGATAAATTATGATGTAAAAGAGCGAGAGCTACTGGGCTATTTGTTCCAGGAAAAGGTTGCCATGTTTTCTTTGCTTAAAACTAATGTGCTTAAAAAAATCAGTTCTTCATTTTTGGTTCTTGCATATTTGTTTTACTAACTATTCTGATATCTTTTTGGTTATTTTGAATAATTAAGGACATTATGTATAATATAATACTTTTTTTGGACTCTTACAAATGGGCATCTTTTTCTCCATTCTCATAATTCTTTAAATTTTTCTTTGAAAGTTCTCTTTCTTTTTTAAATGCATGATTGGTATTTGGGTTTTTTTTCCTCCTATATGCTTTCATCTAGTTAAGAATTCTTTAAAATTCTGTGGTCCCTTTGTTTTTTTTCCAAGTACCAATTAGACTACCAAATTAGTAACTATGTTTAAAACTAAAATTATTCAATAGTTTTGATTTTTCGTGTACTGAAAAAGCTATTGTTGATGTTTTTAAATAAAAGTAGAAAACTTTCATATTCTTGGTTGGCTAATTGGTATATTGTTATAGATGATACTTTGCATATTAATYTTGAAATTAAAATGTACTTAACACTAAAATTATATTGAATATGAGCATTTATTTAGAAGACTTTTAAAAGATTTGCTATTCTTGTAAAGGATCAGTGCAAACATTTTGTAGGAATATAGAAATGCTAATTGACAAAATGCTGGATAGTATKTTTTTAAATTTTAAATTCTTTTTAAAATCATTTTTATTTGTTCTACTTAGTTCTTATTTTAAATTCTTAAAATAAAATTTGCAAATCAGATAAGCATAAGAATTGGGTTCTATGAACTGTATTCCTTGTTTGGTATAGTCACATAGCCAATTTTTACATATGTAGGCGATTTCATTAATCTCTAAAATGAGACTTCATTGACATCTTAAGTATAAACTGTTCTTTAGAAAAATTTTTGGCTGCCATTTTAATTCAAAATGTTACACTTAAAAATTAATATTATATTTCCATTCTCTTAATAACTTCTTTGTAATTATAACTTAAATTATCAACCATATGGTTGAGTGCAAAATCAAATAACTGAATTTAATTGGTGTCTTTTACTCTTAAGTCTCTGAATTAAAAACCATTTCATTTAAAATTTGTCCTAAATGTGCTTTTGTGAGTGATGGGGGAAAGCAAATATTTATTCCAATAGCTTTTGGTTGATATAGAAGAATATTTCAATAGATAGTAAAGTTTATATGCTTAGTAAGTTGATGGGGAAAATGTGAGACCTTTTCTACTCATATAAATATTCTGATTTAATTGACTTTGGGAGAGTAGACAGGTCTCTCATGTCCTACTTTCAGTATAAGACAGAGTCTGTCTATTTTATTGGTGCCTTGAYCAACGGTCATAAAGGTTATCTCTGATATACCCTTCAGAAAGGAATGTCTTTTGAGGTTAACTTAGGTTGTTTGCTTCACAGATTTAAGATATCACTAATAGTGGATTGCCATCTGATTTGAGGTTATAGATATCTGACTTAAAGCCTGACATCCTGGAGTCACAAAATCTTTCTCTAGGGAATCCAGAACACTCATAGTTTTATTATACTTTTTATGGATAAAGGGAAAATGACATCTCAAAGCTCATCCTTCTTCTTTTTTTTTTTTTAATCTTAAAAAAGATTTGCAAGACCTTTATTCATGAAACTTAAGCTTTGCCAAATGACTTTCAAGAAGAGCTAGGTTGCTTGTCTAGCATGTGTAAGGCCCTGGGTTTGGTCTCTGATATCACAAAAGAGCTAAATAATTGAGGCAGCCTTCTATCTTAACAAATCCAGAGCTTATCATCTGACCTAAATGAACTTCTTAGGTAKTAAGCCTTTTAGGAAATAGAGATGTTAATGTAAATATTATTTGAGCAAACATTTATGAAGTAAAACAACCAATTGGAATTATAGAATTTTGGGATTGGAGGTAGAGTGATTAGGCATTCTAAAGCTGTTAAGTTTCTATCTGTTGGCCTCTGTGATTAAAATAGTGCATATACCGTGTATAATTAATGACAACATTCAACCTAGTCATAAGTTATGTTTTATAACACAGTTGAAGTGTGGACTCTTTCAACAGATTAGAATTGTAATCTTTTCATGCARTTCTCCACACTTGACAGGGGACAGTAAGCTTGAAGGTTTTGTGAATATTTTCAATTCTCTTCTTTATCAGGATAAGCTTCTAGTCAAGAATATTGTCTACTTTTCCATAGCTCTAAAGCAGTAGGGTACATTTTCCCCTCATCTTTCTGAGATTTTTTTATCTCCAGCATTCTCTGGGCTAAAAAATAAAATTTTATTAATTAGCATTGAGAGGAAAGAACCTAAGAACTTAAAATTGACAATATGGAAAAGAGAGAAGAGAAGTTTTAAGAAATGGGTATACTGAAAATACGATGTTTTGATTCTACATATGGATGTCTAAAGTTAGAGATTTATTTCATGTAATTAGTCGATTGGAATCTATATATGTGTATATATAATATATATAAATTGTAATTAAAAAAATATTTATATATATATGTACACACACATATTTGGGGAGGGATCTTAGAATTTCCCTTTAAGTTACCTATTTTGGGTTGGAGGATCAAATTGTAATGAACTAACACTATGGTGAGAACTTTTAAATTTAGACTGAATTAAGATTATTCYACTCAAAATGTTATTCTTTTTTACAGGGCAGATGAAATGATGGATAATAAATAGCATCTTTCTTCCTTTTTGACCTAGAAGCGAATATCACTTTAGATATACATGTTACCATTTTATACTAGTGATGAAATCTATACAGTTGAATTTTTTCTTATTTGTAATCCCTAATTCAAATTTGAAATCATTTCARATTGTCACATATGTTTAAACATCTTTTATAATTTAAAAAAATGCTTTTACATGAGGTGTCTATTAATCTATTGATAAGAAAGATTTATTTAAAAATATTTCTTATGAGAATTTTCATGCTGGAAGAAAATATCAGTTCCCAAACTTTTAACTAGTAAGAGCAGCACAGTCAGTATTTAGACATTTAATTTTAATTTTGTCAATTTTGGGTGGTTGTGGGTTGTGCTGGGGACCAAACTCATGGCCTCAAGCATGTTGGGTACATCCCCAGCCCTCTTTGGTTAGTTTTTGCTTCATGTATTTTAGAGCTACCTGCATAAATGTTTTGGATTATTGTATCATACTGATGAATTATTCACGCCATCTTCGATGACCTTTATTTTAAAGTCTACATTGTTGATATTAATGTAGTCAAAAATAGCTTTTTATTATTGGTGTATATATTTTTTTTCATCCTTGAGTCTCTTTGTGTCTATATTTCAGATTTATGTTTTATAAATGTCTTTTATGGTCATGTGTTATTTAGTCTGACTATTTTGTCTTTTCACTGGTGTGTTTAGTCTAGTCCATTTACATTTAATGTCATACTAGTGTGGTTTGGGTTCAGACTACCATAGGGTTGGGCAAATTACAACCCACAGACTAAATCTAGCTTGTGGCCTACTTTCTTTTGTTAAAAAAAATAACATTACATTTGTCACAATAAATGGACCTATACTAATAAATTATTTTTATTATTAGCAAAGTTCAACAATCTGTTTTTGTG